ATACCTTAGCCACAATTCTTGGTGAAATAGCCACAATAAGCTGTGTAAACTTCCTACATACATCAACCTTTGTAGGAAGTTTCAGCGATTTAAAAAGGCGCTCGAGCGCTCGCCTGGGCGCTCGCCCGAGCCCAGGCGCTCGGCACTTCGGGCAAGCACCTGGGTTAACCAAGGCGACCGAACCAAGTTTTTAGGTCTGGTTCGATCCTGGTTCGGTCAATCGAACCAACTAAAACTGATATAAGTGACAAACGAACCCTAACCCTCGCCGCTGCCGATCCCAATCCCGCTGCTTGTCGCTCGCAAACGCTGCCGCTGTCATCGCTCGCGCCTCTCGCGCAAACGCTACCACTGTCGCCGCTCGTGCCTCCCACTGCTGTTGCTCGCAAACGCTGTCGCAGTCGCCGCTCGCGCCTCCCGCTGCTCCCCGCTCCCACTCCGGCTCCCGCTGCTCGCCGCTGTCGCTTCCTCTTTTCTCAGTCAACAAGCTCAGCACCCCCTTACACTTCCTTCTTCTCCTTCTGTTAACAGTATATAGTATACTGTTAATATTGTTAGGTTTATTTGAAATTATTAATTTTCAATACTGTTAATAGATTTTCTTAATTTAATAGCATATTTTAATTTAAAATTTTAAATAATTATATTTATTAATTATATTATATATTTTTATATTTTAGCTCCTCGTTTCGCTCGGGCGAGTGCCTAGCGCCTCGGGCGTTTTTGGACCTTGGCGCCTAGCGCTTTTTAAATCACTGGGAAGTTTACATCATTATTTTTTCTCTTTCTGATGGACTCCAAGGAGTGAAAAATTGGGTGGATATACTAGTTTACATGTTTCTCTTATGTATCTGAAGAGCTTTCTCGAGACACTATATTCCTTTTCTATTTCTGATAAAATTTAGTAGCAAAAATTGTCGACTTAAATTACGTCTCAGCTTGAGAAGGGCATTTCTTTGCTGCATACTGGTGCATTGTGTGTTCATATGATTAGGATTCCATGGTATTTAGTTTATGGGATCAAAGATCTTCATCACATGGTACCTTGGAGCTATGGCACAAATTTTATAACTTGATATTTAGACCAAGCCAAATAGTAGAAAAGCAGATTGCATAAAGGATGTTCAAATTCTACTGATAAATGGCAGGAACCACAATGACTTGCCCAATGCCATCCAAATTAGTGACAAGAGGAAAAGGGTTCAGACTGTGGTTATGATTAAACATGTATGTCAGTTTTTTAAGATCTGCGGTCAAGTACTGAAGTAAAGGTGTCTTCATTTCTCAATTTCTTGGACTAAGAGAGGGTGTCTATACCCACAAGGCAATGCTTGCTTGTAGTTGGACTACATAGAGGTTGGGTTAAAGACTTTTATCATGAACAGCATGCATTTTTTGATGCCTTTGTTGTGTACATTTCCGGTAGTCCCTAATGACTTATTGGAGCAAAGAAGTCACGACATCGGATCCTATGTGCCTTGGTGTTAGCGTTCAAAACGTATATATGTGTCCATGGCACAGGGGATTATCATTGTTCAAGTTGCTCAAATGAAGGGTTGGTTCTATGGTGATCAAGGATTTTGCAAAGGTGTATAATGTATATCACAGATCTTGAGGATACATCATGGTTGTTGACCAATGCTTATTCTTTTTTATCCAGCTTTGTAGCTCCAAAAATTATCCAAAGATGATTGGAAAAAGAAATGCTATAAGAACTGGTAATATATATGATATCTGATAAGCCATGATGTGGTCAAATTGGTTAAATTATCAAGCAATTTTCTACCAACTTCGGAAGTTATGAAGATTCAAGTGAATCGGAGAACGTGCACGGTGATTGTGGTCCTAAATAAATGGAGAGTGAATCACAACATGACAGGAGACAAACTGGATGCAGAAGTGACATGGGAAGGACATTCCATAGAAAATCAATTTTTCACTCAAGATCTGATCTTTTTACTAATGTTCTTATCCTTGTAACAATGTTAATAAGGTATGAAGATTACACTCTTTGTAAAAAGGTGATAACATTTTTATGATTTGCGCTTTGAGGAAGAATCTTGTCAACTGTCATCAAAGCGCCTACATAAACTATGCAATGTCGTAGATCTAACCTAAGAGACTTCAGTTTCCAGAAGCCTGAAGGAAGCTGTCTCAGAAAATCACATTCGTTCCTCCTATGTGCTTTGCAGATTATATAAAGCAACCACTCGCATGCCATTCTTTCCATTATTTCATATTTCTTAGTGCATGCTACAGATTATTTCCTTTTTGGTTTGTTGTATTTACAGATAAGACAGCAAAAGGATGCTCTTGGAAGGCACTCGATTTACTTCCTTTCTAGTTACATCAATGTATATTCAGGATATGGCCCCTTCCAAACAGGCATCAAAAGGTAAGTTCCTTGTTCTAGGCATGTGCCTTATACGAGTCATCACTTTAGCGAAGTAACTACTACCGCACATGATAGGTTAACCTCCATCAACAAAGATTTACTAGTTGCTTTTTGTTTGCTTTGTGTTTGCAGGGAGATCGATGAAGCATTGAGACCTGGCATATATTCCTTGATTGATATATGCACAGCAAGTGATATTCAACAGCTTCATACTGTACTTGATGGTTAGTAATTGCGAAGCGGTCCTCATCAGATTGAGCAGGTTAGATAAATGAATGTTTCCGGGCAGTAACTAATTATTTGTGTCATTTCGCTTGCAGAGAGTTCGTGCAGAAGTACTCTTTCAACTTTACTGCACGACTACCAATTGGATTTCCAGTACGAAGGGAAAGTGTGATCTGAAACCAGGTTCTTCCTGTAATGAGTTTCAAGTTGGTTCTGTTCAAAATTGAGGGAGGCTATGGGTTCAACTTCTTGTTCTTTGGGAACATCGCATGAGCATGCCTCAGTTTGTGGAAAACTCTTCCTGCAGTGGCTACTGTATCTGTACAGTTTTTTAAAGATGGATCAAAGACTGATGCTTTCAGAATTTTTCGGATGGTTCGATGCAACAAGAGGACTTAGCAGCGGTGGTAGAACCAGCTGATGACCAAGGTTGCTACTTGTTATTTATGATCAGTGAGTTGGCACGGCAGTTGAGCTACATGTGCAGCTAAGAGTTGGTATTGCGGATCCACTCTAAAGAAGAAGAGAGTGACTGCTTCTTTAGTTGTCATTAGGAAGCAAAGTCGTGTGAGGGTTTAACCAACTGCAGAGTCCAGACTTCATGCTTTTTAACAACTTAGTGTACCTGAACTTGAAGGAATTTAGCACTTGGCCGATGATGACGGGAGACAGAACATTTCACATATGTTTTAACTCTAATTATTAACCCAAAAAATAGATGGTGTTCATTTTGATCTTTATATTTCATACTAGACAGCGAGATCAATTTGTATGATTACGTTATGTCATTGCATCTGAAAAGCAAATGACACAATCTTAATTTATATTTGTAACACGATTTAATAGATGGCTCGATTTAATACTTGAAATATTAATGTGATATTTTTATTAGCACGATCTGATGAAAATTTGAACTTATGTACTTTTAATTTGAGACGTAGATGATCTTATGAAAATGTGAACTTACGATCTTGATAGTCCGATTCAAATACTTTGGATAGTGGCTCAAGAGGCTATCTAATATTGCATCTAAAAAAGCTGAAGCCGGTAGATGAAGATGTGATCTTAATTTATATTTGTAATTAAAACAAGAAACTATAACTCGAACATCGGCCGCTCGCTAGCAACAAAGAGTCATGAAGTTCTAATTCTTCCTATAAACTTAAAATGATCCCCACATGAACAAACAATCGGGGAGCAGTTGTCTCTTTGATCAACGATAAATCAAGGTTGAAAGGATGATGGAGATTCAATATATATATATGAATATTATGCAGCAATACAAAACTGAAGATTGCAACAAAAACACCCAAGACATTTTTTCCCAAAAATTATGGTCGAGTATATTATTAACTAAAAGTTGAAATGACATTTTTTTCCCATAATTTTTTCCCAAAAATTATGGTCGAGTATATTATTAACTAAAAGTTGAAATGACATTTTTTTCCCATAATTTTTTCCCAAAAATTATGGTCGAGTATATTATTAACTAAAAGTTGAAATGACATTTTTTTCCCATAATTTTTTCCCAAAAATTATGGTCGAGTATATTATTAACTAAAAGTTGAAATGACATTTTTTTCCCAAAAATTATGATCCGTCGACATGACAATAAGACGACCTCATTCGATGGACAAAAGAATCCTTCGATGAGCTCCTTCGAAAGAAAATTGAGGTGGTGGTTAATTAATCATGGCTGCATAGTTCCATACTTGGATCACAACCAACCTACCTAATTTAGTGCACTGAATGAAGAAGTAGAACTTGTATTTGAATGGTGCAGATGCTAATCTAAAATTGCATATGCAGTTATTCAAATCACCTCATAATTTTTCTATAAGCAGCTCTTCATGGAATTACCATCCTCATGTTAGTGTAAATCAAGATGGGTAGACCACAAATTTGTCCCAGTAATATTAAACAAGAAAAAGTTGTCGAATATTACTGGGACAAAGACTCCCAAACCTAAAAACATGACCTTGTGCACCCTCATCTCTACAAATAAAATCAATATATGCAACCTTATCTCTACAAATAAAGTAGTTTCTCCGAATCGAACAAATCTCGATACTCTAAACTAAAATGACAAGAACAATGTATGTTTATATCAAAATTGTATCTTCCAAGAGCGTAATCTAGATGATCATCGAGAAAATATGCTTTTTACCCAAAAGTATGTTTGTGGACTACTTCTAAAGTTCATCAAGGCAGAGAGAGAGGTAAATGCTATTGGTTCCAGCCTTCTAGGCAAAAAGAGCATACTTATGGTAATCACCAAGCGAGGTCTCTAATAAACTTATCTAGTAAATGTTACCAAAGCAGTCAGTCACATGAAACTGTTTTAAGAAAATGATATAAAAAAATAAAAAAGGATGCCTACTCGATAGCAGTAGCACTCCAAGAAGCAACATTGTAAATAACTTTGCTTCCATCCCATGCCTTTCGAAGCTGGCTCCTCTTCTTCACAGAAAATGTTTTGCATAGGGCTAACGATCCACAGAAACACAAGCATCTTAAGCGACGGTTCATTAATGCCAAGCAGTCAACAATAATATAAAGAGAGAGGCATAATAATACAAATGACTCACCATCTTGAAGCTGATTTGGAGTAAATTCCTGCAAAAGTAAGCTGCTAGCAATAAGTAAACAGACAATAATGAAGACCATTATGTTGACAAACCCAATAAAGGCAAACGGTTAAGAAAAACAAGACCAGCTAAAACTTTTCTTAAGCAAATTGAATTTCACTCACAAACAAACACCTTATTGGCCAATGCATAACGAAATGTCATATGTAAAACCTATGCAATTTCTATAAGAGATATCTCCAACACTGCAGTAAGTAAAACCACAAGTATTCATAGAACAAAGCAGACTATCTTGGAGCAATTTCTTTAACCAATGCAATTATCTCTGCGTCCATGAAAAGTGTTTTCCCTAGAGACTACACACAATAAATCTCCGTAGGCGAAATCTATTTTATTGGGAAAGTAAAGTGCCTTTCACATTAATATAAAGATCTCCAAACAGAAAAAAGCGCAAATAAGTAACACTTGTTATGTTTTTGGTAAGATGGCACTTGACATACTTTCATTTGCTGTAATGATAATAGGTAATCAGCCATGAAGCATGCTATTCCATCCACAATATCCTCTTGCCTAATGAGAATAAAACCATCTTGTTCTGAGTCATTCTCCCCATCGACAAGTCTGTCTTCCCACAAGTCTCTAGCAGTAACCATGTCCCAAGATGCATTATCATCTGCAACCAAGAGAAATGCATCCACTGGCATCATTCATAGATAATTTTGGTTTTTTAGGAGAATTCAGACATTTCAAACAACAAGAAGTAGTTCATAAGACGAATTTTTATTAAAGATACAAAGAGATATATATATAAGTTGGCTCGCCATGAATATTTTGACGAACAGATGTCTGCATACTCCAAAGTTTTTCAAGGAAGTATGACAATTCAACTCTTGACTTCAAAAGTGTACATAGCTGCAAAATAAAAGACATGGTACTAAAATTATACTCGTCAAAAAACAACAACATAAATCTATGAGATTGTACTTTGCAGTAAAAAAATGCTGAAAGAGTAGGGAAAAAATTAACATCAAGCACACTCATACAAAGAACAAAACCATTTTTATTTACATGCAACATTAGAAACAACAAGCTCGAAAAGAACAAATGTTCCTCACATGGCAAGAATTTCTAAACAAGAGTTTGTTGAATCTCGAATTTTGATGATGAAACCAATTGATAATGTTATGATCTAATATGCATTTTGAGTGACGCAGGACTAGCTTCCATCAGGAGAGGCAAATTGATTAAAGCAGGAGGAATCGGATGTTGGGCCGGAGTCGAACATGTCAGAAGATTGGACGTCGGATCGAAGGATCGGTCGACGTGTCGGCAAAAGACTTTATGTCGTGAATTCGGGCATCGGACCGAAGGATTGGACATTGCGTCAAGGAGATCAAAAGTTGCGGGTGTCAACATGCCGATTGGGCAATACACCGAAGGAGAGGACGATGAGCCGAAGGATCGGACGAAGCGCCGGAAGAACCAATGACATGCTGGACAACAGATGATTCATGCTTTGCAATAATTTGTCTAGATCGAGTTAGTTTAGGTCGTAATTGGGTTGGTTTAGAATGTAATTAAGCCAGCTCAATTAAGGGCCAACTGGGCCCAAAGTGGGGCTATTTTGGGCTAAGAGAAAAGCTCATTCGGTGGCACCGTCGATCCAGGCGGTGGCACCGCTAGTGGCTCAGTTTCCGAGACAGTCTCCAAGACTGTATCAAGCGGTAGTACCGCCCAAACAGTCTCCCAAACTGTGTCAGGCGGTGGTACTGCCCAGTGTCAGTGCTGCAGACGGTAGTACCGACCAGCATAGGCGGTGGTACCGCTAGTACCTCGAAAACCGGGGATGAGACACTTTTAGGTTCCAAGTTTGAATCCATTTGAGGCCTATAAATGCCCCTCTCATCCCTGCTCAGATTACACAATAATTGAGAACAAAAACAAAGGAAAATTCTATTGTAATCTTGTGAGAGTTCTCCTCCTCTAGTCTAAGTATGATTTCTATTTAGAGAGGAGTAAGTGGGGGTAAATGTTCTCTCCTGAGCCTAGTGATTGAAAGAGGCGCTCGGGCGCTCGCCTAGGCGCTCGGGCGAGGCGAGGCGAGGCGAGGCCCAAGCGCCTCGCTAATGTCCCAGGCGGCATGCTTCAAACAGGCGCCGCCTGGGCGCTCGCCCGAGCCCAGGCGCTGGGCGCTTCGGGCGAGCGCCTGGGTAAACCAAGTGACTGAACCAGGATTTTAGGTCTGGTTCGGTTGTTAGTTGATTCAATCGAACCAACTAAACCGATATAACCCTTACCCAACCCTAACCCGCTGCCGCTGCCGCTCCCGATCTCGCAGCTCGTCGCTCCTGCTCCCGCTGTTGCTGCTCGTCGCTGTCGCTGCTCGCGCCTCCCGCGAGCCCTCCCGCTGCTCGCGCCTCCTGCGAGCCCTCCCGCTGCTCGCGACTCCCGTGAGCCCTCCCGCTGCTTGCGCCTCCCGCGAGCCCTCCCGCTGCTCGCGCCTCCTGCTCCCTTTCCCTTTCCCGCTGCCGCTGCTCGCCGCTACTTCCTCGTTTCTCCGTCAGGCTCAGTATACAGTATACTCTTAATATTAAGTTTATTTGAATTTTGAAATGATTAATTTTCAATATTGTTAATAGATTAATAATATATTATTTTGATTTTAATGTTGTTAATTTTTATTTTGATGTAAAATTTTATTGTTTTGAATTTTGAAACTTTTTGTTAATGTGACATTGTGATTTTGAATCTTAGATTTTCTTAATTTAATAGCATATTTTTATTTAAAATTTTAAATAATTATATTTATTAATTATATTATATATTTTTATATTTTAGCGCCTCGCTTCGCTCGGGCGAGCGCCTGGGCGAGCGCCTAGCGCCTCGGGCGTTTTTGGACCTTGGCGCCTTTTGGCACCTAGCGCTTTTTAAATCACTGCCTGAGCCTATCAAAAGAAGAATAGAGTTGTAAGGGTAGTTGGTCTTCGCCCATTGAAGGAAGACCGTTAGTAGATGTCGGTGGCCTCGACGGAAGAGGAATCGGGAGTGGACATAAGTCACGACGACCGAACTACTATAAACTCGGCTTGCATTTCTATTGTTGTCATTTACTTACTTTGCAACTGTTTATTTCCTCATTACTTTAGCTGCACACTATTACGAACATTTTCAAAGTTAAACATTATCGAAACGAATTTTATCATATGAAGATTTCTAACTCAACGTAACTTTTATCACTGCACTAATTCAACCCCCCCCCC